GCCTACAAAAATGTTTTATATATATATATATATATTGAATTTGTCTCAAAAGGGATTGTGACTGGAGTCGTTAAGAGTTACAGAGTAGTTTTAAATTTGAATCAAATTCAATATATTTTTTTGATAGTTTATTATTCACTGAGAGCATACGAACGCGATTCACTTTGAATCATAGAAATGGATTGATTTACATTTTGATAGAAAAATTAAAAAATGTTTTAATTCAAAGGATTGGGTTACTATTATTCCTTTATATTTAACAAACATTTATGCAAACATGTCTTGAGTTTAAAATTCTTAAAGATCTCTTTATTGAAAATCATGGCCGATATAATCTATATTTGATACGTTCTCTCGGAGAGAATTTAATGTTGAATACTAACGTGAAATAATAATTTCCTGTTATCTCGAGGCGATATGTTTGCGGTAAAGCACAAAGGGAAATCCGCTTCGTGGATTAAATAGAATATATTTCAGTGACACGCGAACTTGAATTAAAACATAACTGAATGTCGATCGATCTTATCATCGACCATTCGATCGTTAGATACGTATTAGTCGATACGAAATAGCGATCGACACATCTATGATCAGCGAGGCGATCGACAAACGAAAATGAAATCAATACTTCGATCTGCTTGCCCTGTCATTGCTTTCGCGATCACGCGTTATCAGCGATTTCGCGGATAAAACTTACATAATAGAATCGTATCAGAGAGGTAACAAGGATATTTACGCACCCATTTATATTGTCAATTAAATAACGAAAAAATTTCTTTTTTCTTTTAACTTAATATATTATAGTTCATTTTTTTTACGCAAAAGAAAGCATGAAAACATGCAAAGTAATTAATGTAATTAATGTAATTTGAAATAAAAGAATACTAAAACTTGATAGAAAAGAATATTAAAAATGAGTATAAAAATTCATGTTGCGTTTTTTTTTAATATTAGTAAAAAGGAAGCGAGAAATTCATGTTCCAACGAAATTCGATAATCAGCGAAGCATTTATTTTTTGTCGCCCGTTTTCGCATACATCTCTGAACGATGCCGCACCTAGAAAATTAGTACAAACGAATATGTTATCGAAGAAAGATAATCGCTAATGAGTTCTCTTGAGGATTTATCTAATTTGGGAAACAGATTAGTATTACAATTTAAGTATACTTTTCATATAAGGTCTATTAATTTATTACACTGTTAAATAGCCATAAATCTTATCTATAGGTACAAGTAATTTCAAAGGACAGATTTTATAGAATAATATATCGAAAAAAATTCAAAAAATAAATAATTTATAATGAGCATCTTATCATCAAAAAAATTTTTTTTTCATGCGATTTAAGAATTAAAAATTTAAGTCATTCTCCATTTTTTTATAACAGGAAGAAACATCAAGTATGATTTTTTGATATTTTTTTGATGTTTTAGGATTAAATTTTTTAAATGTTAGACAATTACGCATGTAAATCATTATTTTAATTAGTACATTCGCTGATGACTTTCTAAAATAGTAAATAGTATGTCTTTTGTTAATAGACGACAAATGTTTATTTACGTATTCATTTGTGTTATTTTTATTTCATCAATTTCTCTCTTTTGTAAGATCTGTATAATAAATTTATTAGCTTAAAGTTCTATTGCATTAATATTCTGTATAGAAGTATTTTGTGTGTGTATGTGTGTATATATATATATATTTCGTCACTCATGAGCAGGTAGAGTGAATCGAACTGAGTCGAAAAATCCTCTAACATTTTGCAATTTTCGCAATAACAAGATATTAATTACTAAAAATTGCCAAATATTGAATAATAAT